ACGGCACTCGTCGAGCACCATGGCCGGCTCGCTCCCCAAGAACCGCCCGCACTCGCAATCGATATCCGCCGCCAATCTCAACCCGGCGCATCGCGTCACACGCCGGAAGAGCATGAGCCAGACGCCTGCGTCCAATGTCGCGGCCATTGCGGCGGCGGCCAAGGGCATGTCAGGGGCGCCGCTCGAGGGAGGCAGCAGCAATGGCCTGCGCCGCTCGTCCAAGCCGACGTCGCAGTTCCGGGGCCCCAACATGGCCCTCCACTCCACAATGGCGTCGAGCATGCCCGGCAATGGCGCGCAGTTTGGGCCCAGCAGTTACGGTGCGGCGGCGGCTAAAAGCGAGGCTCTCACCGACGGACCGACACTCGCAACCATGTTGGAGCAGGACAAGGCCAACTCCAAGTCGCGGAACCGTCGCGCGAGCGAGGGCTCTCGCCTGTCCAAGGGCGACGGCAAGCGAAGTGGTAGCGATCTGAGATGTGAAAAATGTGGGAAAGGCTACAAGCACAGCAGCTGTCTGACCAAGCACCTGTTAGTAACCCTTGGCCGACTATGGCCCTCCCACATACTTTCACGACTCATGACGAATGCCCTTTCCTCTCTCGCACGCACACATAGACTGCCATGCCTCTTGATAGTTCCGCGTTGACTTTTCTTCTAGTTGGGAGCACACGCCTGAATGGCAGTACACATCTAAGCTGCTCATTTCCAAGCACCAGCAGGTCCAGCTGCTCGAGGCCGCCTCGGTCCTCGTCGCCATGAACAAGGAGAGCGACGGCGAGACCAGCGACCGCTCGTCCCCGCCCGCCTCGGGTTCGTCTGACCTGCGTGAGGAGTTGAGCTCCACTGAAACTACCCCGCCCCCGCAACTCGACGACCATGCCGTGGGATCCTACCCTCACTCGCACTTTGGCACCCGCTCCCTCAAGCGCTACTCAGCCAACAGCTCCGCTTACAGCCAATCCTACCAGTCCACCGTCTTTTCCGACAATGGTAATGGCCACCACTATCGCCAGTGGAGCAACGTGTCTGACCGCCCCACTACGTCAGGCACCTCGGTTGCCGGCTCCTACCATGACGATGCCAATGACCATGCTGACCTCGCTGCCGCCGTCGGCCTGCTGAGCTGCTCGTACGGCACCCCCAAGACGGGACCCGTTGCGCTCCCGCCGGACGTGCCACCCGTGCCCCCGCTACCAGCAAAGTATTTTGACCTGAATGCCCGCACCCTGTCAGGTAGCACCACCGTCACCGCGCAGCAGTCGAGTATGCGCAACAGCTACCGCTACCACAGCGAGAGCAAGGACGTCGACATGGACGACGACCACTTCGCCGACGAAGAGGACTATCGCTACTCCAACTCGCGCAGCCGCGGCCGCATTGACGAGGACGACGACGAGATCTTCGGACGGATGGAGGAGTAGGAGCCTTCTGCGCTCGACACGCCCTTACGACGTCCCGACATCTCTTGCCATGTTTCTTTCCATCGCCTCCATTTCCCACCGTACTTCCGGCCCTGTACCACAAACCAAATACCAGCCATTTAGCAATCTATCTCCGCGAAGGAAAAAGACGCAGCCTGCACACCGAGGAGAGGGCCGTCACACCCCCCGACGACGCCCTTGAGGTTAAAGTACAGGTCAATCATCCGAACCTGCCGTCTTTTGCTCACCTTTGCGTCGAGAGCCTAGCACCTGCAACAAATATCCCGGAGTTTTTTCTCTTTTCCTTATCTTTTTTCTCTTGCTCAATCTTCATCTCTTCACCAAGAAACTTCAGCCTATTTTGATATAAACCCATATAACTTTACAAATACTTTCGATGACGAGGAGGACGGAGGAGCTATCATGGCTGCGCTGGATAGCGTGGCCTTGGTGCGAGGTGAGGAGAGGCGAGGGGTCTTTCCAATGTGTGTATGGTCCAGCCATCTTCTTGTATATTCGGCTGTGGAGGAAACCTTTTTTTCGAAACGAACCTTGAGGATGAGAGGAATCAAGATTGAAATGCCAAATAAAAGATCTCAGTCGAAAGGGAAGAGTGCCCAACGTGCGAGTGTATTTGCTTTGAGTGAGGAAATCGAAGTGCTCCCGAGCAGGACCCCGTTCGTATAAGAAAGCCCAAAGCTGACGAGAGACGAAGAAATTGACAACACAGAGACGGGAAAGAGAGGCGGGGGCAACCGGTCCTTTTTCACAACCCAACCCAACGTTGGGTCGCCGAGATAAAGCGTGCTGAGACGGAGCTGCGAGCTGACTGGAAAAGCGGCCAAGACCGTTGGAGGTTGGGGGGGAAATCGTGCTTTACCTTCCTCAGTTGATAGCTTAGTTTGGCACACCATAATCTGGGGCGCCGGGTGAGCGTTAGTACCCAAACACTGGGCTAGCTTCGTTGTTGCTGGAGATCCGACTGGATGGCTGGATGGGATGGTTGCTTCCGTGCTGAGAGGTAAGTAGGAGGGAGAGGCGTTAAGGTTCGTGGTGATGGTTGTTTGTTACGTCGACGGGATATCATCGTGATATTTGTATGTTGGCTGTTGATAGGCGAATGGTTGAATGGTTGGGTTGAGTGGACGGGTAGGATACCCCGCTATGCTATGCCATGCCATGCCATGCTACCCCACGGGACAACAACAACATCACGTCAAGAGCTGATCGTGATCGTGACACCTTGGCAAAAGCTGAGTAGAAATCAAGATGACAGCATGTTGACATTATTCCTCGGACCAGTCCTTATACACATCAAAATTAGCTGACGTACACCTCCAACAACCCACCTCCCCTTCCGTCCCCCGTCCCGCAACATACATCTAATCAGGTGTGGATCGACGACGATCCCCAATCCTACATCATAAGCGAGACCCCTCAGCGTTGGACATGCTGAGTGAGGCGGGTCGACAGCATCGCCAACTTCCTGTATGGGTAACGTGTGCGTGTTTCAAGTTGCGTGGTTGTGGAGATGAGGATCTTCGATCTGTGATGGGGCGCGTGAGGACTTTGTTGGTTGGTGGGGGGATAAGGCTGTGAAGTGGGGTATCGTGTATCGTGATGAGGGAAGGATGCGAGGACGCGTGGTTTTGTTGTGGGTTTAGCTTGGTGTTGGTGGGTGGTGTGGGTGGAGTGGTGGGTATGGTTGGTATCGTGATGTTTTTTTGGCGTGTGAGGTGCGAGGTCCACGGGTTGGTTTGGGAAGGTATGACGACAGATGATCTGCGGCTTTGGGCGGATGGGGAATGGAGGGGTATAATGAAGCATAGAAGATGAATTGTTTACAGAGCGATGCTGCTATGCGTACACGAATGTCAGCATGAGTACTTCCATGTACGATAGTCCGCCTGCCGGTCGTTGTTGTTGTCGAATGCCGTCCTGTCTTGGTGTATCGCGTTTGTTTATCGATGAGAACGAGGATCGGAAGTATTGAAGCTGCACTAGGTTGACATTGAACTTCTTCAAGGAACAACGAACAGTTGTTGTATATCAGAGCAAGGCTATAGGAACTGAAACACCTGACGCGCATGAAGCAGCATGAGAGGCAGGAAGAGGCTATCCCAGAGCACTAGCAGAGCTATAGCGTAGGTGTTCATTGCCTAAGTGTGTGCTTGTAGCTATGTGTGGGGTTTCTCGAGGGGAGGGCAGACGTACTGCGGGTGATGGGTGATGGATATCGTCCAGTCGGGATTCGAAACTAATGATATGGTTAGCAGTGTCTGCACAGTCCAAGGTATGTAAGTATCGGACAATGGACGAGTTGAACTATAGGAAGAAGAAGACTATGCTCGATCGACCAAAGCTAAGAGGCAGGAAGAGACCATACCACGCACAACCAAAGTCGAGGGGCAGGAAGAGACCTTACCACACACGACCAAAGTCAAGAGGCAGGAAGACACCTTACCACGCACAGCTTCGGATGAACAGTAGTTATTGCCACTCGTGTTGATGGCTAGTATTATAGCGTAGATTATGGTGGCTCGGGCTGAGAGGAAGACTCATGCAAGAGGATGTAAGAGAGAAGTTTGCGCGAGTACAGCCATCGTGCCTTCCGTAAACGCGTCGTCACGCGATGACGCGCGCCTTCGTCTTCGCTGTGCGAGCTTTGCCCGAAGCTCTTTGCGAAAAAGGAAGCGACGCTTCCGTTGGGAACTAAACAGGTTTGCCGCCTACATCAATGTAGAAACATGCAAAGTGGGTGATCCAACGTCAACGTAGGCTCCAGATGTGACAGGGAAAGACTGTACGTAGCATCGCAGACATGTCTCGCTAAACCGAGGCCATCAAGACACCCATAAATACACGATCTTGCATTGAAGATGGTGGGTACTTGTGAAATCTTCAGGTTTGATGGGTCACTGAGCATCGTGCCTTCCGGATTTGAAGCATCGATTCAAGTCAAGCCGCGTAATGAGAGACTCATACGAAGAGTCAAATCAGATGATAAAGTGAACAGGCAGTCGATGACTGAGAGCTAGAGAACTGTACCTGTCTCGGTATTCCAAAGATCGACAGATCTCTTGATCTCAGCATGAAGTGAGGTAGCTGAACTGCCCATCTAGGGTCCACCTGGCTTCTGGGCTTGTCTGAGCTTGCGCCGTGCCACAAATCATTGCGTAAACTTCTGGAAGTAAGGTGAGGTCCGTGCTAAGTTGTCCGTTGCAGCATGTCTCCCATATATCTGGTAGACGTGTTCCTGCAGCATGCGCATGCATGTTGAGTACCCAGCGACAAGCAGCGGCTGTCGTTCGATTTCATCTTAGACATGTGAAATCGGTCTTTGATGGAGTCATGTTCGATCCTGGGTCTAACTGGGATACATACAATTATTGGATATAAGACAATGGCTTTGTTGTGGGGATGGAAAAAGATGTGGCTTCGGGCATGGCGTCACTCACGACCCTGCAGATCCGCACGGTTGCGTGTTGCGGCTCTCCGGCGCTCACAACAGCGCAACCCAACACATGCCAGACAACTCGATGCCCTCCGACGAGCGCTGACCCACCCTTTGCTCCAATGCACCCGGCCGTCTCCATACTTGCCGATAATGTCGTCAAATACCACCACCTGCTCGCCCCGCTGCTCTACACCGTCCTCGCGGCTGTCGCAAACGTACACACACCGGTCCAGCATTCGCTGCTCATAACGACGATATCCTGGCTGATAGTATGGGTGCCGACTGTCTTCTGGGTGGGAATATATTCGAATAGCGACAGCGCCAAGAGGAAGACGAGCTGGCTGGCTGGCGCACTGCTAGGCCTGTCTGTGATATGCGACCGCGCAGCATGCGATAAGCAGGGCATCTGGGCGACCAAGGTACTTTCGGACGGGATATAGGGACAACATGCGACCGTCTAACAGCACTTCAGGCCCTCATTCCCTTCTTCACCGTCCTGTTCTCCGAGAACCAATTGGTCGCAAAACACCTCGCCCTACCTACGTGGACCATTCTCGATGGCCCTGCAGCCGAGACCAAGACCTCCCCGGAGCGACAGCCTCACACCGAATCATACGGGATATTAGCAGTTGTCGTCGTCTCTGCGAGTGCTGTTCTAGGTGTCTACGCAGTTCCCACCACGGTCGCGCTCGGTGTCAGCAGTGCCATCTTCGCGGCTACTGGCCTCGTCCTGTTCGAGTCCATCATACAAGCCGCGACAGAAGAGGGCGAGGGCGGCAAGCGAGGACTTGGGTCTGCGAACGGGAATACCTTGCGGCGCGCCTCAGTGAGTGGTGCCTCGAGGCCGCAGCGACTGGCTGCGCTCAGAGACGTCGCAGTGGCCATTGCAGTTGTATGCGGGATTGCGTCTATCCTTACCGAGTCTTCCTTGACTGCAAGCACGATATCCTGGGAACCTGTATACAGAGAGTATGACCGGGAGTGGAGGGATGTGCACAATTTCCGCATCTTGCAGCGCTTCCTGTGGATGTTGCCGGTTCACACCACTGTAAATGTTCTTGTTTTCGTTCTGGTACGTACATTCTTCCAGATTACTGTTGAACTACCTAAATACGCTGTCTTGTTACCAAACGCGGGTCTGGCGTCCTGCCGCGTCGTACCCGTCGCCATGGCTTTCACCCCAGCTTTTGCTTTCAGGTTCCAAGACCAGAGACGTAGCTTTCACTCTCAACGCACTGTCACGATATCAAGCTAATTTGCCCATAGATCTCTCAATATGGCGCTGTAAATACCTCTTTGTTGGCCATATTCTCTCACCTTGCTGCGAAACTACACTTCGCCCCGACCTTTTCCACCATTTTGTTTACCCTCATTTACGACGGGGCGGCACTTGTACACTTTTTTGAGTCGGCCGCATCTCCCATTGTCATGGATTCGCGGCGTTCTATGCGACTGCGTCGCTTTATCTTCATCGTTATGGCTCTTGCGGTGGGGTCTCTACTTTTCGGACGTTTCACTGGACCACGAACGTATCAACATATCACGCATGGTGTTCTTACCGACATACCACTTTCTCCGCCTGGGATGCCACTTGCTCCGGTGTCGGTAGATATGACCAAGGGTCATCCGGCTGCGCAATTGATTGAAGCAGCCGAGGCAGACTTCCAAGGCACCCTTAACCGACAATCCAAGTCTCTCGCTGATGCGGTTCGAGAGTACCGACGCAGGAACGGGATCTCGCCACCTCCGCACTTCGACAAATGGTACGAGTTTGCGACGCGCAACGGTGTTGTGATGATAGACGAATACGACATGATCAATGAGATGTTGCTACCGTTCTGGGCGCTCAAACCATCAACGATTCGGTCGCGCATTGCGAATGCGTTAGGTCATGAAGATAGCTCAATGCTTGCAATTGCGATACGCCATGGCGCCGTAGAGAACTTTCAAGGCGGCGATGAATGGCAACAACAGGCTACCATTGGCATGATGAAGCAGTTTGTCCAGTATCTGCCCGACATGGATCTGGGCTTCAACTTACATGACGAACCGCGAGTCGTTGTGCCTGACAATCTGTTGTCGTCGATGGTGACAAAGGCGAGGGACGAAATTCTACCGCGCACTGCGAAGAACACTGCACCTCGCAATGCCTTCTCCGCTCGGCCAGAAGACTTGAGTGATGGTACACGATTTGCTGAAGTTAGCACGACCAAGTTCAATCGCTTTGCGCATCAACAGACATGGACGCATTCGCGGCTGTCATGTTCTCCTGGCACTCAGGCCCAAACCTTCGAAGACTACGCTGCCGACAACTTCACCGCGTATGCCGCCAGCGACCTTGGCTTCATCTACAACACGACTGCCTTCTCCGATATCTGCAACTCACCCTCATTCTCGTCAACATTCGGGTTTTTCGAGCGACCCAATGCCTTCAGTATCATCCATGAGCTGACACCCGTCTTCTCGCAGTCGAAGATCTCCAGCTTCCAGGACATCCTATACCCCAGTCCATGGTACTGGATGGGCAAAGTAGGCTATGACGAGACGCACGACACGACCTGGGAGAACAAAACGAACAGTCTCTACTGGCGCGGCTCCACGACGGGAGGTTTCAGTCGCAACGGCGGCTGGCGACGTCAACACCGCCAGCACGTCGTCCAACGCCTCAACGCCCCCGACACTGCCAAAGTCCTCGAACCCGTCTCCAACCCCACCTCAACCTACGCCGTCACCTCCATCGAGCGCAAAGCCCTCAAAGACTTGATCGACGTCCACTTCTCGCACATCGGCCAATGCGACCCCGGCGACTGCGACGCCCAAAACGAATTCTTCGACGTGACCGAACGCGTCGACGGCCAAGACGCATGGTACTACAAGCACCTCCTCGACATGGACGGCAACGCCTTCTCCGGCCGCTTCTACAGCTTCCTCAAGTCCCGCAGTCTGACCTACAAAATGGCGTTATTCCGTGAGTGGCACGCAGAGTGGCTCCGCCCTTGGGTTCACTATATCCCCTTATCCCTCCGCGGCGACGAGCATCTCGATCTTGTACGGTGGTTCAGCGGTACCCAGGTTTTCGACGATGACGGCGATGGAGTTGTGGAGAAAGTCAAGGCGGATGGAAGCAAGAAGGGCGGAAATGGCGCGAGTGAGGGGGAGAAGAAGGCGAGGCTTATTGCGAAGAGGAGTTCTGAGTGGCATGATAGGGTGCTGAGGAATGTGGACTTTGAGGTTTGGTTCTTTAGGTTGCTGTTGGAGTATGGGCGTGTGGTGGATGATAGGAGGGAGGAGATTGGGTTTGCGGGGCCGTAAAGATGGGGGTGAGACGTGGTGAGGCGGAGGGTGTGAAGGAGGAAATAAGGGTTGGATAGATGGAGTTGGAATACATTGCTGTTCTTTTTGACGTGTTCTGAGGATTGTGCATATAACAATCGATATGTTAAGTTTATGTGTACACGAGCCTGGGTGATGTTGTGATTCAGTCGACTCCACTGACTTTCCCACCTCATACAAGGAAAGGAAAAACCTGAACAGGTCAGCAGCCTACATCAACGTAGAAACCTGCAAAGTAGGTAGCCTAACGTCGATGTAGGCTCCAGACCTGTTTGGTTTTTTCCTAGATTGACGTGCTCCGGCTTGCATGTTGAATGACCTTTGATTAACGTCAAAAATGACTAGTACGGTGGTCTAACGAAAAGCCCGTGTAATATCCTACTCTCCCATAGACGAACTCCTACTCGATAACCGCTTCCAACCCGCTGCTCCATTCGTAAAGTATCCACGTATACGTCTCCAAGCCCTCTTCAATGCCCAAGCAATACTAGTGATGATGGAACGGATCTGCGAACGAGGTGAAGTCTACTTCCTCCCCGTTCGGACGCCGTACTCGGAGTAGAAATGGCACGTCGTGTTATGAACGACGCCGGATGTGTCTTCCTTGAAGACGTTGCAGCCGTAGGTTGCGGCGTTGGGTGGGGTGTATACTGTGTTTCGTTAGTCGGACGATGATGCAATGGTGTGAAGTAGAGAAGATGACGATCAAGGCTCAGTGAAGTACAAAGTAGAATGCAAAGAATTTGTACTTACAATGTAGTGAGACTGCGTAGTCTGTGGGGTGCGGATTGGAAATACGATGCACACCGAGCGTGTCAGCCATGTATGTGACGTCGTTTTCAGCGAAAGTAGTCTCCATGGTCTTCGTCATGGGACGCTGGTTTTGTGCATCGTCTTCGGTGGGCGTTGCGAAACGGGTTTCTGTCAGGCTGCCTTTGAGGACTTTCATGATGCAGTGTGCGTTCGCGTGGCTGATGGGTAATTAGTATCGGCGTGTTGCGGTAAAGTGTGAGATATAGCGAAGGCGAATGGCGGAATGTAGTGAGTTATCGAAAGGTCGTCTTACCGGCGTGTCTCCTGCTGACACATCGATCAAAGTAGATCGGCGAACGGGGTCGCTTCATCGTGCAGGAGACTGGAGCCATGGGGTGTTGGTCGTAAGGTGAGGTATGCTTATGTCAACAGTCGCAGAATCTTATCACTTACTCATGAATCGGGCTCTTCTTTCCAGGTCCCCATACCAATATGAGCTGTTCGGTTAGCACTCTTCGTTGACTCGAGAACCGGGGACTGTACCAAGTTACTCTTGCCGTTGCCTTTGTCGACAACATTCCGTGTGTATGGTAATGTCTCAGACGGAAAGTAGTATTTCTTCCACTCCGACTCTTCCGAGGTGTATGCTTTCATCAATTCCTGGAGCTCATTCTCGTCTACGTCATCCGAGTCTATGCCGTTGCTGGGGCCGAGCACCTTGTTGATCTCCTGCACGAGCGAGTGGAAGTTATCTTCTTCAGTGTTGCGGCCGATCATGGTAACGATATTGATTTGCGGGGAAAAAGAAACGTGGCAAGTGTGTCGTCGAGTATGATGTTATTACAGACGGAGTTCCGACGAAGAGAGTTCGGGGCGCGGGCTCTAAATATACACAGCCTTTGTCGAGGGTAAGAGCGTTGGCTTGCCTGCCTTCAATGCTGCTTGTGCAGGACTGGGCTTGCTTCATTATGTAACAAATCGCGCGTTCTGAGCTTGTGATATGTGGATCCATGGCGGTCAGCAGTTCGCCGACATGTGATGCACCTCATATGCTCAGCCAGAGTGGTGGGTATGGTCACCGATGTGAAGACCCCGAACGCGGCTTCTATCGGGGAACTTTATGAAGGCCTCGAGGAAGCATGCATGGAAGCCGAGATGGAAGGGTGCTGCGCTGAGCGCTAACCTTATCGGGTGGCGGTGAAAGGTACTGCCGGGAAGCCGTGCCCCGCTTCGTCATTGGCGGCGTGCGTCGCATCAAATTTCTGAACAACGACATCGCCGCTCCACGCCTGCTCAGAGCAAGTCAGGATACACAGTAATTCAAGATGGCGACCACAGTAGACAAGGCAAGTATTGAGTGCCGCAGCATACCGCCATTCCACGCGCTAACAGAGTGTGCAGATCAAGGACATCGAGGCCGAAGTAAGCCACACCCCAATACGCGACCGTAACACGATGACTTACACGAGACGTAGATGGCCAAGACCCAGAAGAACAAGGCGACGTCTTTTCATCTTGGTATGGCCTCATGGACGGATACTGCATACTGGTATGCTTATACATGAACAGGGCAACTGAAGGCAAAGCTCGCGAAGCTTAAGAGAGAGCTGCTCGAGCCCTCGTCCGGTGGCGGCGGTGGAGGTGTAGGATTCGATGTTGCTAGGACTGGTGTTGCCAGTGTTGGTTTCATTGGCTTCCCCTCCGTGGGCAAGAGTACGCTCATGAGCAAATTGACCGGACAGCACTCCGAAGCCGCTGCATATGAGTTCACAACGGTGGGTTGGATACGCTTGTTACTAGAACCAGTACTGACAACATACAGCTTACTACAGTACCTGGTCAAGTCATGTACAACGGAGCCAAAATCCAGATTCTCGATCTTCCCGGTATTATCCAAGGTGCGAAGGACGGTAAAGGTCGTGGACGACAGGTCATCGCCGTCGCAAAGACCTGCCATTTGATCTTCATCGTCCTAGACGTCAACAAACCCCTCACCGACAAGAGCGTTATCGAGAACGAACTGGAGGGCTTTGGTATTCGAATCAACAAGAGCCCACCAAACATTGTGCTCAAGAAGAAGGACAAGGGAGGCATCAACATCACCGCGACGGTTCCCCTCACACATATCGACCATGGCGAAATCAAGGCGGTGCTGAACGAGTACCGAATGGCAAACGCCGACGTAGCTATTCGATGCGACGCCACGGTCGATGATTTGATCGATGTTATTGAGGCCAAGGGACGAAGCTATATCCCCGTCATCTACGCTTTGAACAAGATTGATGCTATCAGTATCGAAGAGCTCGATTTGCTCTACCGCATTCCGAACGCTTGTCCCATCAGTTCCGAGCACGGATGGAACATCGACGAGCTCCTCGAGCAGATGTGGGAGAAGCTCAATCTCGTTCGTGTTTACACCAAGCCCAAGGGCAAGATGCCGGATTACTCGGCGCCAGTGGTATTGCGATCAACAGCCTGTACCATTGAAGACTTCGTAAGTCTCCCCCTCATCTTAAACGCGACGCGCTAACCGCTCTGTAGTGTAATTCCATCCACAAGACGATTGTCGACAACTTCAAGCACGCTATCGTTTACGGGAAATCATGCAAGCATCAGCCCCAGCGTGTGGGACTTTCTCACGAGCTTGCCGACGAGGATATCGGTATGTATCCCAGTATTATCTCTCTAAATGGATATCGTGAGCTGACGACCCGACCAGTCACTATTGTCAAGCGCTAGATAAGGTCTCGTGATTACGAGATACGACAGGCGTTATGGATCCGGTCTTGGGAAATAGTGAGTAGAGCAGAAGGGCCTTCTGGATGGCTGAACATGTCTCACTGCGATACCAATACTAGGTCGCAGCATTAAGATGACGAAGAGAGCGAGGTTTGGAGCCGATCTCGCGGCCTGGATTGGCCGAGGGCTCGTTCCAGTAGCACCGCGGACGACATCAGGACGACACTAGCACTGGGCAACGCAGCTTACGGCGCGGATCGTACCTGCCAATCGCCAATGCTCGACTGACTGGTGGCGGTCCGATACCGTCCGCAAGCTATCAATACCAGGCCTTTGCTTCCCCTGCCGAGGAGGCGTCATTCAAGACATTGCCGTCGCGGACCCTCGTGGTAATGGCGCCGCTGGAGTTATTGGAACGGGGTCAGCATGTCGCATTTGTTTTTATTCCATATTTGCTTCGGAATTTGATGGATTCAGATCAGCATTGTCTGGCCCAATTTTTGAGGCGTCGGTTTTCCTTATTGGTCTGCTAACGGGCGCAGCGGTCGACTCGGAGAAATCAGCAGGGGTTAGTTGTGCTGGCGACTCAGAGGGCACGCTGTCAGTCGGGCGCTAAATCATTATCGCTCCCGAAAGCCTGAGTGGCTGGTCGGCAAAACCTCGATTTTCCATGGGCGCGATTATTGCAGCTTTCCGAAAGCGTTTCAGCCGTCGACACTTTCTGTCTCTCCTTTATGCACAGCCGATGATTGACGTCTTGCCCCTGCCGTGGGAATCGCCACAGGCTCGCGTACCTGAGCAGCATTGAATCGGCTGCCACTGTTTCGCGCCACGAGCGTACGGCAACGGCCAGGATGTATTTCGCTGGGCGCACGAGGCGAAGCCAATATGGCGCTTCCACTCAGACCATGTCTTGTTCGGGAAGCGTCAGATTAGCCGGCTGCGACGTGCTCAGCGGTGCGAGGGCCCTGATGGGATGATCCCACCCGGCTGCCTTGACATCCCATTTGCCCTTGCTAGGAGTCAGGCGTCGAGGCATGCACTGGCGAGCTAGCCTGGCGGCCGCATAATTCTGGCCCGCGCTGTCCTAGGGGCGCATCCCCGATGAGAGACCCGCACACGCTAAGCCCAACGTCGTCGCTCGTCGCTTGGCCGAATGGCGACCAGGATCACTGTGCACACGCCAGGCTTGCCGGCAAGCTTGGGCTCGAAACAAACAGGGCTCCTCTCCCGCCAGCTGCAGTAGGCCGCGCCCGCATCGCACAGCCAGGGCCTGTTACCAGTGTCCCCAGACTTATCCTCAAGTACGCGCTGCAGGCCCGCCGCGCCAGGCTTTCCCTGCAGTTTCAATTCTCCATCTAAGGCCATTGCTTTGCCGCGCTGCTTTATACCTATATGTTTTGACCTCTGTCATACCCAGCGCCTTTTGTCAGCGCTACCCCCGCTACTGCGGTACATTGACTTGTCGCTGTTTCGCCTCAGGAACC